TTTCCGTGGGAAAATATTAAACATTTGTCCCTTACAACAATGCTCGTACGAAAATATTAAACATTTGTCCCTTACTAATAAAATTTATAAAACAAGAATGGGAACATGAATTGGGTCCTTGCAATGCCCATGCCCTCAGTGTCAAAAGTAATGGGATTTGGTTGACTGTTTTGAGAAATGGATTCATAGAAGAAGAAAAACAATTTTGAGTGGTTTACAAGGGGTTAAGTGGAGTTCCTTTAGTAATCCGAGATTATGTAATATAGAAGAAAAAGGTTGAAGATTTAGTTTGACGTTAGTTAAAGTTATGGTTAGCATTCAATACATTCAATAAATTCTCCTTCTTATTACTATGATTTAACATATATCTACTAAGTATTTGTACAAGGTCAATATAAAGGCAAATACACTCACAACAAGTACAACACAGCCATAGATGATAAAACTAATCAAATCAATCATAAAACAACAAGTACACCTACTGTCCGTTGTTACAATTCACACTAAACCAAACAGAGACAAAACATTCAGTACTTTATTCACAATCGACTGGATACACAGTCAATACCAAAATACAGTCACAACAAGTACAACACAACCATATAGATGATAAAACTAACCAAATAAAGATACACAACAACAAGTACACCTATGGACAGTTACAATTCACACTAAATCAAAGAGAGACAAAGCATTCAGTACATTCTTCCCAGCCACAACCACATACTTCTACATAATCCATACAAAACAGCCACAACCATATGGTTTAAAACTAACCAAATCAAGATACACAACAACAAGTACACCTACTGACAATTATAATTCACACTAAACCAAAGAGAGACAAAGCATTCAACACATTCTACACAGCCACAACCATATACCTCTACACAATCCATACAAAACAGCCACAACCATATAGTTTAAAACTAACCAAATCAAGATACACAACAACAAGTACACCTACTGACAGTTATAATTCACACTAAACCAAAGAGAGACAAAGCATTCAACACATTCTACACAGCCACAACCATATACTTCTACACAATCCATACAAAACAGCCACAACCATATAGTTTAAAACTAACCAAATCAAGATACACAACAACAAGTACACCTATTAATAGTTACAATTCTTACTAAACCAAAGCCAGATTTTCTCTCTTCTCATGATGCCACCTAAGCCACATTTTTGTTTAAACATTAAAATAAATTTAAAACATTCATTTAGTGCATGTTTATGTTACTTATTTAATAAATAGAAAATTTATATAAATAAAAATAAATTATGTAAAAAAATGAAATGTTAAAATAAGAAAAACAATACTATAATTTTTTTGATTAGTGGTAATAATATAATTCAACTTTCATTTTAAATTGATCATAATTTAATATTTTAAATATGTTACTGAGTTTTAGAATGTAAGTAAAATTTAAATTTATGGTAGACTAAAACAACATTTATGTAATTGTATATATAAAATTATAAAGAGGAAAAATAAAATGAAAGTGAAATATTAGTTTATAACATGATCAAAAAGAAAAAAAATGATATTTCATTAATTGAATCAAATGCTTTTAATCTAAATTTGAGTATCGAAAGATAATAATTAAAGAGAAATAATTATAATATTTTTTGAAAATCAATTAAAAAATAATAAAATATCACAATATGAATAAAAAATCAATAAAACAAAATTATAAACCTCCCGCGCGGAGCGCGGGTCAACTGCTAGTAGCTTATAAAAACAGCTTATAACGTGGATTAAGACCATCTTCCTAATAAATCAAAAATACAGCTTATAAAAATAATCTCCCACATTCAATTCTCAAGTGAATCACTCCACATCTTTCTTGCTATTGTTTCTCTCCATTGATTGGCATATTCTCTTTGTTGTTCTTGGGTTGTAAGAACTTCATTGCTATTATCACTAATTTCTGTGACAACTTCTTCTTTATTTTCAGTTTCTTCCAGAAAATTATCCGTTCGACAATACTTTCGAAGAAAATTATGTAAACTAACACATGCAAGTACAATCTCTGACTGCATCTTATAAGTAAAAGGAGGTGCAGATTTACAGATTAGAAATCGTGATTTAAAAATACCAAATATTCTTTCAACCACGTTCCTTAAGGATGCATGACGATGGTTAATCAACTCTTTTGCATCCGCTGGTTGTGAATTTTGACCAGAAAATTCTTGTAGATGATATCTAACACCACGATAAGGAGCTAAAAATTTTCGACGATTTGGAAATCCACAATCTACGACATAAAATTTTCCTGAAATACAATAATAATATAGTCACTTCACTAGTAAAAAAAAATTGTATAGCTGCAATCTAGCCATGATATTTCGTGGCTTATTTTGATCAGTGGCAAATTCGTTGCTATATTTTAGCCACGAATATGGTCAGTCGCTAATTTGTGGCTTTACTTTAGCCACAAATATGATCAGTGGCAAATTCTGTGCTATATTTTAGCCACGAATATGGTCAGTCGCTAGTTCGTGGCTTTATTTTAGCCACAAATATGATTAGTGGCAAATTTGTAATTATATTATAGCTACATATTAACTTCATAACTAAATTATGGTTATGAGCTACAAAAAAATCTTTGGTGTAGTAGAGCTTCTCCAAAGGGAGATGCTTAATTTGGGGTGTTAAAATTTTTTATTAAATTTAATGATTAATAAAAATTTGTTGAAACTCTAAAAAAAAAAAACGTTTTGCAGAGAGAGAAAGAGAGAAACTGTTCGATCCTTTTTTTTTCTTCCCTTCTCTCCCACTTCCCAGCCAATAATAAGAATACATGTGGCATTAGAGATCGATACTAAAACCCTTTAGTTTAGGGGTGCTGCTAAACAATAATACATATTATGATTTATTTTTAATCACAATAATCACCATAAACTCTAAACTTTTTTGATAAGCATCTCCCTTTGGAGATGACCTTAGTTGCTAGTGGATTTATACAAATGAAAAATAAACTTTTTATAAAGTAGCCACAGATTTTCCATAAATATTTATGTGGCTATGTGAAACTCTAAACCTTAAATATAAATCCTAAAACCATAAACTTTATAATAAAAATAATTACTATAACATACTTAAAACTAATATATAAAAATTATAAGAACATTATAGTTTTTTAGATCTAATATGTTTCCAAACCTTAACCCCAAACCTTTACTCCAAACCTCAATTCATACCCCATAATTTAGCCTCAACCAAAATATAATTATTATATATGTACACTAGTTGTTGACCCGCGCTACGCGCGGAAGTTTTATAATTGTTTTTTTATATTTTAAAATTTATATTTTGATTTTTCTTTGTTGTTTGTTTTCACTCTTGTTTTTGTATTAATTTACTATATGAAATGTTTATTGTTATTTGTTTAACTTTGATTCAAGTCAAATAGTAGCTGTTAGAACCTTACATTTCAAAAGTCTTCAATTCTTGTAAGCCAAATTATTCTGTTGAATCCACTTATTTATTTATTCAAGTGTTTTCATTTTATTTTTTAGTTTTTTTTTCTACTTCTTATGCTTAAAATCGGTTGTGTTCTCGTTTGATGTGGCTTCAGATGACATCAATTTAGTGGTATATTTATCTGTATAGTATAAATATCATTGTTTTGTATTTTGTATTTTGTTTTGTATTTAGCCCCATTAATCAAGAAATTGATCATTACTTTATAAATAGATACTTGTTTTATTTATTTTGGACATAAATGTTTTTACTATATTATTTATTTTCTTAAAACCACTATTGAATATAAAAATAAAATAAAGGCTAAGTTCTGAGGTATAAAAGAAATTAAAAACTAAAGTGTTGTAATTCTAAATCAATGTAAAAAATTAAGATAAATGATGATGTGGCAGCTTATGTGGAAGATGATTTGGCATAAGGAGAAAAGAGAAAAAGTTAACTTTATATATATAGATTAAAATCTTATATGTATATATAATATAATTTTAATAAAATCAATCTTTTATGTTATCTATTTATAAAATTTTAAAAATCTAATCATCTTCTTAACCCTAAATTATATTGAGTGTACAGCATATACTCTCTTCTTCTTTGACATATATTATTATATAATTGTTATTCAAAACTGTTATGAATTATTAATCAAAATCAGATAATTAAAATTAATATCAAACCAAAATTTTTTGTTTTGGGCTGCCAACCCAAAATTTAACAAATACATCCCACTAATATTAAAGGGGTGTTATTGAATTGATGATTTTTATGTATTTTAAAGTAATTGAATTTGAAAGTACATAAAAGATTTTGATAGATTCATTACAAAACCGATGGATTTTAATGTATTTTCACTACAGATTATAGTCATTAATTTAAAAAAGTAACTGCTCTGTATTATAAAAAAGAAAAATCAGATCTAAATTATGTTTGTTTCGTGACAACTCCGAGACGGCAACATCGGTTCTTCGTAGGAAAAGGATCAAAATAACAAAAAACATAAAAGATTTAGTATGTTGCAAATAAAATGTTGAAGGGATTTGTGGATTTATCTTCCTAATGAAGCATCTGATTCTCTGTTTTTAAAGTCATGATCGTTGTTCTTCTTCTTCGTCCTTCCCAGCAAAGTTCTCCGCTTGAAGATGCCATGGTGGATCTTTCACTTATTCATCATTTAAATTCCTTACGTGATTTATAGGTTCTCGGTTATAGATGGAAGAAGAAGAAATAATTTTAAAAATATTTATTTGCTTATAGTTTTCTATGAAGTACATCAAAATCAGAGAGAAAAGGCACGTATTTGCTTTACTCATGTTTTAGACAAAATAATACATTAAAATCTTTTCCAACCAAAATACAACAAAATCAAACTCATATTGAATAACAGTGGATTGTGTTGTACTTTATCAAATACATAATTGAATAACAGCATATTTTAAAATATATTAAAATACATTGAAATACACTATTCAATAACACCCACTAACTAGACTCGGTTTAACCAAAAAAAAAAAAAAAAAAAAAAAAAAGAAGAAGAAGAAGAAAAACCTAAAAGACCTAGACTCTTCTTCTTCCTCGACACAACCACTTCCACACTTAGAAAAATGAAACCGTAAACTCCATCTGTGTCGCCTAAACACTTAGATCTATTCCTCTTCGCCTAAACCGTAAGCTCCGATCTCTTACTCCTCGACTCGCCGTGCTTCTCTTGGCCGACAGCTCCACGTACCATCGCACTCGACCCTTTGATTCTGGTCCGACTTGTACTCGTTCTTTTATCTTCTCCTTCTCATGATTTGTTGAAATTGAAAACCACTGCTTCTGTTTCTTTCTCTGTTTTTGATAGGCTGTTTAGTTCTTTTGTTCTTGTTTATTTAGGGTTACAAACCCAGATCGCTCATCAATCTCTGAGATCCGGCAAACGGAGACGGTCTGCCTTTCTGGGAAGCATTGGCGGAGACTGAATAGAGGTCGATTTGTTCTTGTTGCTGTTTTTTCTTTGATTTAATCATAGTTTCAACTTAGATGATGTTTATATTTGGTCGATTTAATCTACATTGTTTTTGTTTCTTGTATAATTTGACTATTACAGGTTGGAAGTGTTGAACACAACCCACTCAACCACTCTTCTTTCTATCTCTGATTTCAAGGTAAAGCTTTCAACCCGTGAATATGAAATTTCATATACTATGACTCTTGTTTTCTAAAATACCAAAACTTGTTCAGTTTATGTGGCTATTGGTTATGTCTTTTTTGTCATGTGAGCTATGTCTAATTTGTTACTTCTTTTACCGCTTTTCTTGTGACTAGTTGTGAATCTGTGATACTTTCCAGCTTTATTATTTAGTTACAGGAGTTATGTGAGGCATGGTTCCAAGGTGAAGGTGAAGGAGGAAATGGTACATGATGTGGTTGGATTCTAATTGATTGTGCCACCGGTGAAGTTGTTAGACATGCTACAAGGTTTGCTTTTTTAATATATTGATGCAAGTCACTTATATGTGTGCTAAATTAATTATGTATTTACTTGAGTTGCCAGTTCTTAAAATTTGTATAATTGCTTCTCTGTTTTTGAAACTGATGTTACTTTCTTTTATCCCAAATGCATGGTTTCACAAGCTCATGAGACATGACTAAACAGTCCAAACCCAAAACCAAACCTTCTTCTTCCTCAAACACCAGAAGAAACCTTCCTCTGAGGATCATCTCCAACAGCTCACCACAACTCGCCAAGAAACTCTCTTCACACCAGACGGGTGAGTAAAAGAAAGATACTTTCCAAGACGTCCATGACTCCTCCTCCTCCTCCTCTTGTGTCTGCAGATTTCAACAAGAGCAGGATTCATCTCACTCCTTGTTTTGCATAGAAGCACATCAAGAAGACCAGAGAGCAGACAAGATAATCTTGAGAGCTTTGATGTGATGAAGAAGTCCGATGATCTAAAGAAAGATTTCAGGGAATCAATGATTGAGATGATAGAAGAAACAACGTCAGAGCTTCAAAACATGGTGTGCATCACTTTGTCTTTTAGTTTTGGTTTTTTCAGTTTCAGCAATATGTTTGTTTGTGAAACATTTGGATATATGAAATAGATATTTTGTATGACTATTATCAGTCTTTTGAAAATAAGATAATAGTGCTTGTGGTAATATAAAATATTGGTAATTAAATTTCCTGGTTTTATATTTGAAATTTCATTTTAGGTTTCTGATTTTTAGAATTTGATTTTTTTTTTGGGACAAATACATGATTTTTTTTTCTGGAATCAGATACGTTAAGTCTGTTTCGTTTTGTTGAGAGATCATAGCAGAACATATACGTGTTTGTGTTGGTTTGTTATTTTGTTTTCACTTCCCTAAAATCTATATGAATAGAGAGACAATGTGTTTTGTGTTAGTTATGTATTCTTCTTTCTTAGAGTGAATTTTCTCAGACTATGAGCTCATCTTTGTTTTTTTTAGATTTATCTTTAGTTCCTGACTTGGATTGTGTAGAATGTATATGAGTTTTATGTGTGTAATGTACAGAACCAAAGGCGTGTTTTTATGTGTTCTAATGTTGTGTTTATCTGTACATAAAGAGGTGGTGCTGCTGTTGTTGGTTTAGATTATAGAAGAAGAAGTAATGGGGTTGTATTGGGGAAAACGGGGAAAATCAACTCAAACTATTTCCCAAAGGTATTTTCATACCCAAACTCACGTACTCTGAATTTTACAACCCAAATCAGCTTTCAATTCAAATAACCAACCTGAACCGCATCAAATTTTGTCGATTTCAACCTCGACTTTAACAGTATCCCTGCCCATCTTGAAGTTTTGGACAATCAAGCTTAAGCTTCTGTAAAAACCAAGAAAACTTAAGCTTAAGCTTAAGCTTGATTGTCCAAATCTTCAAGATGGGAAAGGATACTATTAACGTCGAGGTTGAAATCGACAAAATTTGATATAGTTCAGATTGGTTATTTGAATTGAAAGCTGGTTTGGGTTGTAAAATTCAGAGCACGCCAGTTTGGGTATGAAAAGACCTTTGGGAAATAGTTTGGGTTGATTTTCCCCGTTTTCCCGGTTGTATTGTATAGAATTCTGATAGTTATTACTGACATTCTATCAATTCCTGAAAATCATTGACCCTCCATTTTGATGTCGGTTTAGTTGTTTTGTTATCTTATAGCCGCCGAGGCTTATAATTGTTAGCCTGGTGTAAAGATTATAATTAATTTCAAAGTATTGTCTAGAAAAACTTACAAATACAGAAAAATAAATTACATCTTATTTTATTATATACAGAAAAAAACAAATACATATTGTGGAGAGGTAATAACAATGCTTGTAGTGGCGTCGAACCTCGTTTCGCTTATGGAGAAGCTTAAAGTGGATGAGCCATACCTTCCTCCGCGAAACTGGGAATCTTTACCTTATGAGACTAGCCGATTTCGTCCTCCGAGTCGTGCTTCTTCTACTCCTTCGTCCTCTTCCTCTGTATTAGGGTTTAGATTTTACAATTAAAACGAAATTTTATATTTGTTTGAGTTTATAAAATAGTGGTTATATGTATACATATTTTTTCCATAATTTGTTTTGTTTTAATTATTTTAAAATATTATATGACATGCCATAATACTCTATTTTTAAAAATGCGCTGATTTGGAGTGTTGTTATTGGATTTTTATGATCTAAAACGAAAGTGTATGTTGGTTTGGATTTATAAAGGAGTGGTTAGAGTTTAGATTTTATAATTAAAACTAAATTATATATCTGTTTGAGGTTATAAAATAGTGATTATATGTATACATATTTTGTTTCCGTAATTTGTTTTGTTTTAATTATTTTTAAATATTATTTGACATGCCATAATACTCTGTTTTTATTGGTTAGAGTAATAAGAAATCAACTAGAATATTAACTATATGGATGAACCCAAGAATTACTCCAAAAATAATTTTATATGACAAATTTATCTTACTCTATATTATTATTTTTAATGATGATCTCTACTTTTTAATACTCATCTATACTTTTTTACGGTAATTGACTCAGCTCTTGAACGTTGGAGTTTTTGGAAATGGTTTGTATATCAATTCTCTATATTTCTAACACTTGCTGGCTCTTTTAAAAAAAAATTTCTTCGGTTCTTCCTTTGTTTTTTTATCACAATGAAACATCATCTAACTATTAACTATCATTTAACAACGTGGATTTAAAGTTTTAACTCTGTTAAACAATTCTGTCAACCGGGTAAACGACTGTTAATTGTCAGGTAGGAATCTACTAACGAGTATTGTAAATAAACGAATATTTTTTAAGATAACGTTAAATAAAAGAGATATTTTTATTCCAATCAAAATAAAAAAATAGATGACGTATTTTTTGTCTTTTTCCCTATACATTATAATTATTTATAAATTTGCAAATAACAAGTAGTAGATAATTTAATCATAGGGGAAAAAGCTTAAAAATACCTCATTTATTTTTTATTTAGAAATTTAATACATGATCTTTTTAGGTTGGAAGAATAATACTCAAAATAAAAACGTGCAATTTAATACTTAAGATATTAAATATTTTCATTTCCCTACCTACGATCTCTCAACAAAAAATATATTCCAATTTTACTCCTATTCACTTCTATTTATTATTAATGCATAAAAGACTATATGTTAGCTTTACTATTTCATTGTAATATTTCGTTAGTTTAAAGATACATATTTCATACTTCAATATTCATTTTTAGATATGAAATATATAATTCGAAATATATCTTTCGTTGGATCTCTTAAAATTTTTGGATAAAAATAGAATACAATTTTTGGATAGAAAATATATAATTCAAAATATATCTTTCATTGGATTTCTTAAAAAATTTTAGGTCAAAATGAAAAATGAAATATACATATCATTTTTGGATATGAAATTTATAATTCAATATATGTATTGTTTCTTCAAAAATATATTTGGATAAAAATGAAATATATATTTTGGATATGAAACATATGATTCAAAATAAACCTTTCATTGAATCACTAAATATTTTTTAAATAAAAATAAAAAATGAAAATATATATTTTGAATTAAATCTATAAATTAATGACACAATGAAATATTGCTACCAATTATTTGTTTTTCCAATAAAATTGTAATTAATTGCATGTCATTTATGCACTAATAATAAATATAAATGAAGAAGGGTAAAAATGGAATATTTTTTTGTTAACAGATCGTAGGTAGAAAAATGTCAATATTTAATAGTTTAGGTATTAAATTACACGTTTTTATTACTTTGGTATTATTCTTCCAACAAAAAAAAGATCAAGTATTAAACGTTCAAATAAAAAATAGATGAGGTATGTTTAAGCTTTTTTCCCTTTAATCATATCAATAGTTTCCAAAACAATGATTTTGAAGTTAAATATTACATAACCTAAAACTATGTACATAAGCCACATATTATTAATTTATGTTGTAACAAAAAAATAAAATTATGTAATATTTATGTTAACCATACAAAAATTTAAGAAAACTATAACAAAAAGTGGAGCATTTATAAGAGTACTAGAGAGGAGACCCGCGCATTGCGCGGGGTTGTTTGCTATGATTTTTCTTAATTAATTTTTTTATTTGGTGTTATATTCTTACGATTAATGATTGTTGTACATTTGTGTCGTATTTTTTTGGATTTATTTTGATTTGAATATTTCCATATTCAGATATTATAGTCTTATACTTTTAGCTATTCCTTTGTGTGGCTTTGCTGTTATATGCGTTACTCGTATTTCAATTAATGTTTTTGGTTTTGTTTGGACGCATCTATTAATATTGTGAGATTAAAAGCTTTACTTAAAGGAAAGTGTGACGATAAACCATTTGTTACTCTTTTTTCTTTTTTTCTATTGTCATAATTTTAAATTAGAGTAAAAAAAATTATTAAAGCTGGAACGTGCTCTGTTTGTTAGGTTATTTTTTATCTATTTGGATTTTATCGATAGAGAATCTCAAATTTTTAAATATTAACCCATAGTGTAGTAGTTTCTGTTAAAATGTTTTGCAATTGAGCATGTACTTATGACATGTCCTGCCAAGCCCATATAATGCGTACAAATTTATTTTTTGTTGATTGAAGAATCGGTCTAAAATTTGGATAATTTGCTTACTTTTTTAATTTTATTTTACTCGATGGAATCCGATATTTCTATTTTTTGTTTACTCTGCATAAACCTTATTTAGTCGGACGATACCACCATAATCAACAGATTAATTTGGACGGGATATTCAAGTATGAAGAGAGCTCAATCCAGCAAAGGAAGATGATGACACCATTTTGCATTTTTTAATCCTTTGTCGTAGGCATTATGCTTTATTTTGCCTTCACCATATTTCATATGGCGGTCTTCCAAGATAGATTTTAAAATGTTAGTTTGAATTTCTCTTTTAATATGAATTTTTTATTTTTACCTCAATTTGAGATTTTAATGTATTTCAACTTTTTCTTTTCATGTTTTTGGTAAATCAATTTTTTTAGAAGGTTGAACTTTATATGTGAGAAGAGAAAACGATACTCAAAAGGAGATTATAAGTGGCATTTATGGAGGGGAATTTTATGTATTATGCCATTTTGGAAACTCAAACTTGTGAAAGTGCCATTATCAATAATGCCTTTCAAAACATGCCATAAGGAGGGAAATTTGGACGATTTTGCCCTCAGCATTGTTGAGTGAGTGTTGAGTGAGTTTTACAAAAATAGGAAGGAAGGAAGACAAAAGAAGCTGACTTTTACGGACATTAATCAACAGACAAGTTTTTTTTTTGCCGACATTCTTTGATTTTTGTCCACACTCGATTATAGACAATTTATTTTCTATTCATCTAACATATGTATTATGGACAAGTTCGTTTATGAAAAACTAGATTTACTTTACTCTATACAAGTGTACATCTAGATAGATCTTTGACGGATATCTTCCATAGATGCATCACTTGTTTCATCTTCTACTCAATTATTTGTGGTTTCAAGAGAACTGTAGGATAGACAAGTTTAGTCTACCGATTCGGGTCTATCAGATCTGGTCCATCGGATCTCGTCTGGCGGAACTGGTTTACCGGATCTGTTCCCCAGGAATTTGTCCGCTGGACTGTGGTATGTCGGACTGTGGTCTGCCGGAATTGATTGTGGTCTG